GCAGCTCGGAGCGTCGGAACGCGCCGCTCATGCTTTCGCGGAGCTGACGGGGGTGGCCGATCGGCCCGAGGCAGCGATGACAGCTGGGGAACAGGCTCAGGCCATGGAAAAGGCAGTCGTCGAGGAAGCCGCGATTGCCGCCGGGGGGGCCCAGCGAAGCCAACTGGCCGGCGTCTTTGCGTCGGCCAACGAGCTGAAGGCCGAGCCGCGCAGGGCGGCCTTGGAATCCGAGGCCAACGCTGAGAGCGGCCATGTCTCGCGGGCGCGCGGCTATCGAGGTTGCCATGCTTGCCGCCGACGAGAGCGCTTCCCTGATCTAGCGGGCCTGCGGCGAGATCAGTGACTCTCGTCATCGTGGGCAAACCATCGGCGTGGAGTCGCGTGCGACCTGCGCGCGTGCCAGGGCAGAGGGTTGCGATGCCTTGGTGAAGGCTCAGATGGTAGAGCAGGAAGCCAACGGGCTGGGCGCCGCCTCCCGTAGCATGGAACTGAACGCGCCCCAGACGCTAAAGCAAACATTGGGGGGCTCAACGCGAGAACGGGTATCGTGGTCTGTCTGAAAAGCGCATCCGAAGCGGTCTGCGCGAACATGCGGCGCAGCAAAAGTCTATTGCGCCCGAAGGCACGGCGAACTGCGAATGTTGGCAACAGACGGGTGGAGTGTCTTTGCGCGTGTGTGCGTGCGTTTGTGTGTTGCGCGCGTCTGTCCAGTGGCGTGGCGCGCGCGCTGGGTCGGCGCGTGCAGGGTCTCGGGTTTGCGATGGGAAATGCCGCGTCTTGCACTGGTTGTGGCGTCGGGGGGGCGTGCCCGTAGATCTCGCCGGCCTGCGCCCTGCCCCGGGGCCGTGGCGGGGGGCGTGGCCTAGCCTGCCGCGCTGGCGCGCCCGCGGGCCGCTGAGTCGGGCGGGAGCTGCGCGTTTCATTTCTTGCCCCATCTGGCAGGGCCAGAGGCCCTGGGGAGCTCGAGGGTGGATTGTGATAGGTAGCACTTTGGTCAATCCGAGACGGTGCCTAAGGGCGGGCAACCCCGCGGCGGCGGGGCGCCCGGTTTCCCCTCGGCCTGGGCTGCCTCTCGCGTCGCCCCGCGTGGCCCAGCGCTCGCCTGGGGTGCCGCCGTGTTCTGGCTCGGGGCAGGAGGGCGCGGCTCGCTGCCGGGCGAGCGCGGGGGCGGTTCTGTTCCTGCCGTAGGAATCTACGCCCGTGCTTTGCGGTTGAGGGAGGCCGGCTGCCGCCTGATCGCCGGAGGCCAGCGTGCTTTGTGTGCGCGCGGGGGTCCGGGCTCTTGCGGATCCCGCGGTATTTCTCCTTCTTGTTGCGCTGGTGCCGCGAGCGCCCAGCTGGGGCTCTCGACCCTTGCCGTGTCTTGGGATGTCTGAGGGGGGGGGGGGGGGGGGCAGAGGGCAGGGGGGGGGGCCCGGGGCGCTGCCTCTAGGGCGCATCTACTGGTCGAAGCGTCGTCGCCTTCGGGTCGCCCACTTGCGCAAGGGCGCGACCTTGCGCCGCGCTTCCGGGCGACGTCTTGGGCCCTGGCGACGTGCCCTGTAGCGCCGAGGTGCGGCCTTGCGCGGCGCCTTTTTTCGACTGGTGGGCGCGCGGGGCCGCGTCGGGAAAGGGGCGTGAGTCGCGACGGGTTCCGGTTCGCACAACAGGGACATTCGTGCGTTGTTGGGGGGTGGTCGCGCTGTCTCGCGGGCGGGTGCGCGGCGCGCGTGCGCGCGCGCGGCGCGTGCGCGCGTGCGGGGGCGTGCTGCGCGCGCGGCGTGGGGCGCTGCGCGCGTTGCGCGCGCCTGTGTGTGCGCGGGCGAGGCTGTCTGGAGAGTGCCAATCTCCATTTCTTTGCTGGCGCCTCTATCATCGGCGTCCAAGGGGGTACGATCGAAGACGACGAGGGCGGGTACCCTGGGTTTGGGATATACGTATTGATTGGCACGTGAGCAGATAGGAGCGAACAGTCTTGACATGATTGTTGTTGTTGTTGCTGCTGCTGCTGTTGCTGTTGCTGTTGCAGTTGTTGTTGCTGTTGTTAAATGCTAATTACTAGTCAAGTATTATTGTTGGACCCTCCCCATGCGCTTTGACGCTCTCGCCTTGGCGCTGGCTATATTTTCACTGAACATGAGGCTCACGCTCGAGCGGTTTGGGGGGGCGCCAAAGCCGGCCCCCAAACAAGAACAACGCTCCCGCTCGAGACGTCCTCCTTTTTTACTCAGGGCTGGTGCTCTTGCTCGCCGCCGAAAGCCGCCGTCCCAACAAAACCAGCGCTACCGCTCGAGACTTCCTCTCGTTTTACCTTGGACTGGCGCGCTGCTCTTTCTCTCACCGGCGCCGCCCTCAGCAACAACAGCGCTCACGCTCGAGAGTTTTTCCTTTTTTACTCAAGGCGGTGCTCCTCCGCGCCGCCGACAACCGCCGTCCCTACAAAACCTGCGCTCCCGCCCGAGAGTTCCTTCCGTCTTACGCTGGACACTCTTCTGAATTGGCGCCGCTCCGAGCAAGAACAACGCTCCCGCTCGAGGTTTCCTCCCTTTTTCCTCAGGACGGTGCTGTTCCTCGCCGCCGACAGCCCCGTCCTGACAAAACCACGGCTCCTGTTCGATGCGGTGTTCCTCCTCGCCGCCAACAACCGCCGCCCCAACAAAACCAGCGTTCCCGCTCGAGACTTCATTTTGTCCTATGCTGGACTAGCGCACTACTATCTTCAGGATTGGCGCCGCACCCAGCAACAACAGCGGCCCTGCTCGAGACTTCCTCCCGTTCTATTCAGGGTCAGGTCCTTGCCTCGCCGCCGACAGCCCCCCATCCCCACTAAGGCAATCCTGTCGCTCGATACTTCCTTGTGCTTTACCCTTGGCTGGGGCTCCACTGGCGGTCTCGCATCGGCGCCGCAATGCGCGGGCATGCGTTTTCGATTCGGGATATGTTGAAATTCCTCGGAGGAGGTGTTCGCAATACCTCATTAGGCGGGAGTTCTGGGAATGGGAATAACGTACCCCGCTACAGAACAATCCATGATGTGGATGGTTATCATGATGATCGCATGCTTCGTGTGGAAATATCGCGCATGAGTGTAAACTGATTGTTTTTGTTGTTGCTGTTGTTGCTGTGGCTGTTTTTCAACAATTGTTGTTGATCTCCCTCCTGGGTAACCATTGTATGTTTCAATTGCAGTGCTTTCCCCGGCGCTCGCACCCTGGTTTTTACAAGGGAAAGCGAGGTGCCACCAAATTGCATCCCTGGCCCTTGGTTTACAACAAAAACGGCTGCCGCCTGGTATTTCTTCACAATTGATTCCCAAATCGCACTCTCGCGCGGAATTTCCTTACAATGTATACAGATCGCGCTCTCGCGTGCGATTTCCTCACGATTTATTTGGGAATTGGCTGTGGCTCGAGATTTCCTCGCGATTCATGCAGGACGCACGCTTCAGCAACCCGCCTGCTCGACTTCGTCGTCTGGGCCCGCCTTCCCGACCCGCATGCCAAGGTCTGCCCGCCCCATCTGCCCGTGTGGTTTTGCCACGTGTTTTCTTCTCCTAGCCGCCCTCCTGCTACTCTCTCTCGTGCTCCATCCTCCTCCCTCCCCACGGTCCCTTCGTTCCATCCGTCTTCTCTTCCCCTGCCTTAGAAGGTGCACGAAACACACGTTGCAGGTGAGAGCGATATAAACATCCAAGGGGGTACAGTTGAAGACGAAGAGGGCGGGTAGCGAGGGTTTGGGATATACGTATTGAATGGCACGCGAGCAGATCAGAGCGAACACTCTTACAATGATTGTTGTTGCTGCTGCTGCTGTTTTTGTACGCCGCGGGGCAAAGACACGGTTTGACCCTCAAGGCCTTCCCTAATAGTGAAAGCACGGTGCGAGCCCCTGGGGGGAGGCATGTTCATCAAAAAACACCATGGGCACCGGACGGGTAGGGGGCGACATGCGAACCCTGCCCCTACCCCCACCATTTCGGAGGGCCCCTCAGAAATCGTGGGGGGTAGGGGTAGGGTTCGCATGTCGCCCCCTCAACGGTACACATCCAGCAGAAGTGAGAGTTCAACGAGCATCCTCACCGCGGAAGCCCGCTTCAGGCACACGCCCAGGTTTGGCGTAAGACCGGCTGGGCCCTTCGCTCTGATCCAGGCGTGGGCCAGGAGGTGCCCCGTACCGCGCAGCGCTCAGGAGGGAAGAAACACACACACAGACACAGTTAGTCCTGATTCCCCAGAAAGTATGGGAAGATGTGGGAAGTGGGGGGGAAGACACAAACCTAGAAGATATGGGGCAATATGGGGAATCATTTTGTTAGTGTATTTTTTGGTGTGTCCTGGGGCCCTTTTTAAGCGCCACGGACCCGCCCTCGGGCACCGTGGCAAGGCGCCCGTGGCGGGACAGGCGCGCCGCGGCGGGCCGTTTGAGCATGCTGCTCGTGTGCAGTTTGTGCCCTGTCGGGGCGTGGTCCAAGTCTGGAGGAGCAAGGGGGGGAGGAGGCGGCCTCACCATTTGCGAGGGCGCCCCCCCCTCCTCCTCCTGCTCCTCCTCCTCCTCCTCCTCCTCCTCCTCCTCCTCCTCCTCCTCGTTCTCTGCCTCCTTCATCACGCCGCACCGCCGACTCCCTGGGGTGCCTAGGCTTCTGGGGCCCCCCAGGGGCTTCTCGGGACCTCTCGTCGGCTTCCTGGGGGCACGCCGGCGGCCGCGGAGGTCCCTTTGGGGCGGAGGGTCCGAAATGTCTTGGGCCCCTCTTGAGCCATCTCGGGCGTCTCTGGGGCCGTTCTGGGGCCGTCTCCATCCTGGCCTGTCTTGGGGCTGTCTGTAGGGCCTGCTGGAGCAGGGGGAGGAGGGAGGAGGTGATTGAATCATTTGCAGGGGCGCTCTTTACTCCTCGCTCCTCATGGCCCTCCGTGCCAATTCGTCCGTCGAGCGGTGGAGGGAGCTGTGCACTCCAGAGCATCAGATGAGGCTTCTTTTCTCCTCCTCGCAGCCCTGCGGCACCTGCTCGTCTCCCGACGCTGCAGGTACAGCCACTACGAGAACATCAGTTATATTGGGGAGCAACGTGTGCGGGTCTGGGCGAGAATCCTGGGTGGGCGGAGCTCATCGGCATCTCTTCGATCCTTCTGATCTTTCAGGGATTGCACGTTGTATGGGCAAGCTTCCTGCAGAGACGGCTGGCACGGTTCGCCCGAAGGTAGGATGTCGCATCCATGCAGTCATAACGTTTGTTGTTTTTGCGAAGTGGTGCTCTCGCTTCTGAGTTTGCCGTATGTTCTGTTCATCAGAGAGAGCGTGATCCACCGCCGCTTTACTGTGGAAAATTGCCGCCCTTTTCCTCCGGAACCCGGGGGTCCCCCCCCCCCTCCGAAAATCCCCCGCCCCCCCTGCTAGGAACCCCTCCCCCCCCCCCCTCCCCCCTCCCCGGCCAAACCCCCCCCTCCCTAACCCCCCCCCCTCCCCCTCGAAAACCGGGGGGGGTCACTACCGGTTCGAACCCCCCCCCCTCGAAAACCGGAGGGGGGGTCACTACCGGTTCGAACCCCTCCCCACCCCCCCCACTCACCGCCAGCAAACGACTCCCGGTCCCTACCACCGTCCGCACCACATCCCCCACTGTTGTTCCCAGCACCACTGTCCTCACCACCACTGTCCCCACTGGTCCACCACCGTCCCTACTGTCCCCACCAGTGCCCCCACCACTGTCGCACTGTCCCCACTGTCCCCACCACTGTTCCCACCACGGTTCCAGTCTCCCCACTTTCTCCACGGCCCCAACCACTGCCCGACATCCCCACTGTCCCCACTGTCCCACTGACTCCTCCGCTGTCCCGCTGAGCTGTCCCACTGTTCCCACCACTGTCCCCACTGTCCCCACCACTGTCCCCACTGTACCTCTGTCCCATTGTCCCACCGCCGTCCTCGCCACCGCCTTCACCACTGTCCCCACCACCACTGTACCCTCCACTGTCGCACTGTTTCCACCTCCCCGTCCCCATAGCACTGTCCCCACCACGCCAGTGCCCACTGTCCCCACTGTTCCCACCATTGTCCTCACCACTGTCCCCACCACTACAGTCCCCACCACCGTCCCACTGTCCCCAACACTGTCCCGCTGTCCCCTCACCACTGTCCCCACCACCACCGTCCCCACCACTGTCCGCACCCCCCCCTTGGTTCTCGAGGAGGGGGGGGGGGTTCGAACCGGTAGTGACCCCCCCCGGTTTTCGAGGGGGGGGGCGTTCGAACCGGTAGTGACCCCCCCCCCCTTTCATGATGAACTGGGGGGGGGGAGGGGTTCGAACCCGTAGTGACCCCCCCGGTTTTCCGGAGGGGGGGGGAGGGGTTTGAACCAGTAGTGACCCCCCCTGGTTTTCCGCCGCCAGCAGCGGTAGAACACGCTCTTTCGTTCATCAGGGAACTTTCGTCCACCGGAGCGACGCTATCGCCGCAACCGTGACAGTGGTGACAGTATTCATGCATTGCGTATTACTGTTACGTCTTATTGTGTTCGTACGGCGTATTCTTGCACTCGTACAGCTTCGCATTAGAGCACAAGCGGGAAATGAACAACACCACAAACATAGTACCCTCTCCTCTTCCCCTCCTTCCTTCCTCCCTCCGCCCTGCCCTCCCAGCTCTTGGCTACCAGGCTCTTTGCCCTCTCGGTTCAAAGTCCTTCCCGACACCCGACTCTACGACTTGAGAGGGGGTCAGCGCAATGGGAAGGGATAGAAGGTCGGGGCATGACGTCAGATTTGGCGCGAACATTCCTAGCTTGACTTCTCTCTTCGTCCCCACGTCCTCTTCCTCTCCCTCTTACTCCATCTCCCCTACCTCCCACGTCTTCCTTCCTCACGTGGCGATCCGTGTGCGATTACAGTGAGTGCGGCAACGAGTTCCTTCTAGGCGTGGGCGAGATCACTTCTTCCCGATGCGAACGGGCGGAGAGGGCGGCAGAGGAGCAGGAGGAGGGGGATCGGGACGGGCCCCCCGGAAGATTCTAGAGGTCTCCACGAGGTCCCCAGGGGAGGCCTCCCGAGGTGCAACGGCCTCCCACAACAGCATCGCTCCCCTCCTTTCCTTCTCCCTGGAGCTGGTGGTGGTGGTGGTGGTGCCGTTGGGGGCCAATGCTTCTGTTCCGAATCGCTTGCGGCCCCTAGAGACACTACGAAAGCATGCTCGAGGAAGCCTTGGGTCGCCTCCGCTCCGTTGCCTGCCCTGCGGGGACTCGCTCTGGCGTCTTGGCCAGAAGCGGGCGCCGCACTGGCGGAGGCTTTCCTGCATGGCTCAGGAGCGACAAAAGGACGTACACGTACATGAATCCACGCTGGTTTCGAGAGTACGCATTGCGCAAATGTTCGTATAACGCGGCCGGTCTCGCGGATCTAGGGGCCGTGTTCATGTACATAGCTGGGCGCGTACGTCCTTTGTGGGCTCTCTAATGGCCAGCAACCACAAGCCACGACACCCAGCAGCGACGACGAAAGGGAAACGACTGGAGGGGAGAACGGCGGGCGGCGGAGGCGGGGGCCCCCGAGGGTGTCCCGGAGGAGGTCCCGCAGGCCCCCTTAGCGCTCCCCGAGCGTCCCGAAGCCTCGGGGAGGCCCCCGAAGGCCCCCCGAGCCTGGGGGGGGAAGTGAGAAGCCCCCCTCTCCTCCTCCTCCTCCTCCTCCTCCTCCTCCTCCTCCTCCTCCTCCTGCTCCTCCTCCTCCCGACTCAGGGCTCAGAACTCAGGTGTCCGTGAAACAATTCCATGCGGGGACTAGTGCCGGGGGTGTGCACAGCGCTGAGACGCGCACAACCACAACGGCCAGGGCAACATCATAATCTCTCGGAGCAATATCCCTCTGGCCTGCAAGCCGCATCCCCTGACCCAGACCGGAGGGGAAACAAGAACTTGCGACGGTCGCTCCCGGCCGGCTTCGCGTTGCCAGGGCTATACCTCCCCCAGCGTCGCCGACACCGCGGGCAGAGGGTGGCGAAACGCATGCCCAATCCATGGAGAGCAACAGCAGCACGGGGCAAGGAGGAGGAGGAGGAGAAGGAGGAGGAGGAGGGAGTGAGGAGGAGGAGGAGGGAGTGATGAGGAGGAGGAGGAGGAGGAGGAGGGAGGGAAGGAGGAGGAGGAGGAGGAGGGAGGATGAGGAGGAGGAGGGAACGACACCTGGGGCCAGGACGCGCCTGGAGCTGGGGGAGGCAGGAGGGCGAGCACCGGGGAGCCACCGCGAAGCGGGTGGGGGGGGGAGGGGCGACGCCCGGGCGACAGTCCGTGGGACGAGCGGGATGACGATGCTGCTGCTGATGATGATGCTGCTGCTGCTGCTGCTGCTGATGATGATGATGATGATGATGATGATGATGATAAAGATGATAAAGATGATGCTGCTGATGATGATGATGATGATGATGATGATGATGATGATGATGATAGTGATGCCGCTGATGACGATGCTGATGCTGCTGATGCGGATGCTGACTTTGATAATGATGCTGATGATGCTGATGATGATAATGATAATGCTGATGATGCTGATTACCATGCTGATGACGATGCTGCTGATGATGACGATGATGTTGATGATGATGATGATAACTCTGATGATGATGCTGCAACTGAAGATGATGCTGCTGCTAATGATGATGCTGCTGCTGATGATGATGCTGCTGATGATGCTGTTGCAGATGATGATGCTGATGCTGCTGATGATGACGATGTTGATGATGACGACGATGATGATGATTGTGATAGTGATGATGATGCTGATGGTGATGCTGATGGTGATGCTGATGATGCTGATGATGCTGATGATGCTGATGATGCTGATGATGATCATGCTGATGATGCTGATGAGGCTTATGAAGATGATGATGCTGCTGACTATGATGATGATGATGATGCTGATGATGATGATGCTGATGATAATGATGATGATGCTGCTGCTGTTGCTGCTAATGATGATGATTATGATGATGATGATTCTGATGATGATGATGATGATGATGATGATGATGATGATGATGATGCAAATGATGATGCTGATGATGCTGATCATGATGATGATGATGATGCTGCTGATGTCGATGATGCTGCTGATGATGATGCTGAGGATGTTGATGATGATACCGATTCTGATGATGCTGATGATCCTGATGATGCTGATGATGCTTCTGCTGATGATGATGACGCTGATGATGATGATGCCGCTGATGACGATGCTGATGCTGCTGATGATGATGCTGCTGATGCTGATGCTGATTGTGATAATGGTGATGCTGATGATGGTGATACTGATAATGCTGATGACGATGCTGATTCCCATGCTGATGCTGCTGATGATGATGATGTTGATGATGCTGATACAGATGATGATGCTGCTGCTGCTGCAACTGATGATGAGGATGATCATGCTGCTGCTGCTAATGACGATGATGATGATGCTGATGCTGCAATCGATGATGCTAATGCTGCTGATGCGGATGACGATGTTGATGATGCTTATGCAGAGTTTGATGACCATGATGAAGATGATGCTGATGCTGCTGATGATTAGATGCTGATGATGATGCTGATGATGCTGATGCTGATGCTGATGATGCTGATGATGATGATGTTGATGCTGATGCTGTTTATGATGATGATACAGATGATGATGCTGCTGCAGCTGATGATGGTGACGATGCTGCTGCTGATGATGGTGATGATGATGCAACTGATGTTGCTGATGATGATGCTGATGATGAAGCTGATGCTGATTATGCTGATGCTGATCATGATGATGCTGATGATGCTGATACTGGTGATGTTGCTGCTGCTGCAACTGATGATGATGCTGATGCTGCTGCTGTAATGATGATGATGCTGCTGGTGATTATGCTCGTAATGATGATGCTGAAGATGATGATGCTGATGATGATGCTGATGCAGATGATGCTGATGATGATGACGATGCTGATGATGACGATGACGATGATGATGATTATAGTGCTGATGATGCTGGTGCTGATGCTGGTGCTGATGCTGGTGCTGATGATGATGATGCTGATGATGCTGATGATGCTGATGCTGATGA